CTGACTTTCCTCAGTTTTATCTCGACATCTTTATCTCAATTAGGGTCATTCAGACTACCGCACACAAGCTAATTTAAGACCTTATTCTTAATTCAGCCCAGTAGATTATAAATGTGCTATAATACGATTTTTATGCAGTTTCTTAAAATGCAGTGCAGTGCTTACTAACAACATCAATTTAAGACACCTGTGCAACGTCAGCGTGTGAGGTGTTGTCTCACCTCATGGGGGGTGCGATCCTGCTTGCGACTGCGAGTGGTCGGCTCCTTGTGGTCCTTGCCGATGTGCACCACTTGGTTTTTGATGCTCTTCCGGACCAGGTGTCGGCGCATGCCAGGAACATCTTCAAAGCGATGACCTGGAGTAACAGAAATAAACATGCAGCAAACTGTAGCTCCATGCAACGCAACAGCATCAGGTCTTTCGTTTGTATGGCACATTTTGTTTCTTTAGCCCAGAGATGGCACACATTAACCTTCCACCCTTTTAAATCTCAGCCCATTTAATCACAGGCCTCTTCGCTTTGTATCTAAGGGAGTAGAGTTACTCATGCTGGCAACACACCAGGCACTGAAAGGATGAGGAGAAAGAAACGTGATGACAGAGACATAAATGGTTCTGTCAGGTGTTGGAAGTTCAAAGATCAACAGATCCGCTGATTCATTCAAGTTGAATTCAGAAACCGAGGAGATGACAGCTTCACACTGACAAATAAACTTGAGAAAATGAACAGGCCTGCTCTTCAACAAGAAATATGCAACAGACATCCAATTACTAAAAACACTATTTTTGAGACCATAAGGGAGCCTCGACTCAATCTCACATTTAAATGCATTAACTGTGGCCGTGAAAACCGGATCATTGAACAGGAAAGCCTACACAAACCTCAAAAAGCTCACATCAACCTTAAATGACAGTCTGCATCTGTTAAACAAGCATCTTTTCTCTGAGCTCACTCAAACATACAACCACAACATCCAAGTTTATTATATTTTCAGGACTTCTACTACAACCTTTTGTGACATCCTGTTTATTCTAAATTGATCTGTTAATAAGTTAAAACACATTCAACACAAAAACGAGTGAAATCTTCCTTAAAAAATATCAAAGCTTACCATTATCAGAGCTTGCATATCCTATGTAAAAAACACTGAGGCTTTTCTGGTTCTTCATCAAGGCTTTAACTCATTATCTGATAACCGGGCAGGCCTCGCCAGGACAAAAGATGAAATTCTGTCCAGAACTGAGATTTTCATCTGCTACCTCATTCGTTCTCGCGTCACTCGTACAACCTTCAAGTTTTATTGGGAGGGCCCCTTGTCAGGTCACTACATGATGTTTGCCTGCACTTTGGGGCAGAACCTCGAAAAAAAATGAGCCCTGGCTGGCATTAAGGAAGAGGAGGGTTTCTGCTGCAGGCATCGAGAGCATCTGGCGCTGGCGCAGCCACCTTACTGCGTGACCCCAACCCTCCTCCCTCCTCGCTGCTCAAACTGAAGTGTGGGACTTGTTTTGACAAATTGGAAAAAGTTGCCACTTCTTGACCGGCTCCTGACCCCCGCCGGGGCTGAAGCTTTCAGAATGCATCAGTGAGCAGAGGTGCTAATTTGCTCGGGTCGAACAAAAGGGGAGGGACAGTGAGCTAATAATTCCTATTGTTGAGCGGCAGCCAGAGACGGACACTTTCCCAGGATGATTTAGGGTGGCGGGAGGTAGATAAAAGAGGACAGAAAGTATGTGACAGTGAACCTGTTTGCAGGCTCACCTCTTTCATAATGACCAAATATCACGCCCACACTTCCATCCTCAGCTGCCTTGTTTTGGCCCTCGGGTCTACTTAATTCTTCCTCTTGTTTCACTCCTTTAATGATTAAAGGTTGGAAACAGAGGTCCGGATTTAACAATTAGCCACCATGTTGGCTCAGGCCCGAGTCCAAGGGCCTCATCTGACAGCGGGAACAGCTAATTTAATAATGCAGGCCTGTCTGCCACAGTTTCTGATAAGCTGCTGCTCTCTGCGGAGGAGTCGGCTCCCTGACGCAAATCACCTCGGCCCTGGACACTACCCCACGCTGGGCTTGGGGCTGGGAATGTCACAGGGCAGTGGAAAGCAGTCTGCAGTCAAACAGAGAAGGGCCCCACACCTTCATCCTGATGTTTGCGAAGGAATCTAAGCAAAGTGACTAACTATCAGTTCAGCTGTATTTAATCATTCCTCCAGCTTCTTTAACACACAGAACATGTTTTAGTACAAAGTACAAAGTTTGTGTTAATGCTGGTGAAGATTAACAGCAAATGATATCTACAAGAAAGAGCAATGCGTAAGTAATACATATTTTTAAATGACATTCCCAACAGTGTGTTTAGACAAAGGTTTTAAACTTTTTGTAAAAGATGCACTTAGGAGATTTCCTGAAAACAAGAATAATCTACTCACATCAAGGCACTTTTATTGTAAGGCAAAGAACCTAAAATATTAGATAGAAAACCAAAAATCACACAGCCCCTCTGAACAAGCACTTAGTGACTGTGGGAAGGAAAAACTCCCTTTTAACAGGAAGAAATCTTCCGCAGAACCAGGCTCGGGGAGGAGAGGCCATCTGACAGTTAGGGTGAGCAGAGATGGACGGGAGAAAGACACAATGTGGAGTGCCAGAGTTTAATAACTGCTAATGCAAATACAGTGAAATGAAATGAGTGAAGAAGAAGCACCGTGGGAAGCCCACAGAGGCCTAAGGCTTATTGCAGCGTGACTACAGGAGGGTTCAGGGACATCTAATCCAGCCCCTTCTTGAAGTTTTATCAAAAAGGAAAGTTTTAAGCCTGTTCTTAAAAGTGAAGAGGGTGTCTGTTTCCCAAATTCACAGTTTGGAGCCTTTGGAGACTCTACGATCCAACAAGTAAGCCCACAGTCTGACAGTGAAGTGCTCTAATGGGGTGATATTCTCGCCGCGGGATTTTGAATCAGCCGAAGACTACAATAACATCAGTTTTATATGAATTTAGAAGCAGGAAATGCAGGGGCTTTATCTTTATTATCCATGAAACATTTTCAAACCAGGATAAAAAACAAAAAAAGTGAAGTCCCATTGATTGACCATCAATGGGACTCTTTTTTGGATTCACAGTCCAGAGACATCCATGTTAAGTTAACTGATGATTGTAAATATGTGATTATCTGTATCACCGCAATGACCTGTATCCCACCTCTCTACCTATGACAACCTTATTAGTTTTGTTGAATAAATCAATAAAAGCAAGGGTTGGATTTTTTACTAATAAATAAAATCAAATACTCTAATAGATCCATCACCTCAGACATTTTGACCACAAACTGCGTATAAATACTTAGTCTTAGGCAAAGAGTAAAGCAGACACAGACAGCTGGAGACACCACCGACGAGTAGTCATACCTGTTGTGCTTTCTCTGGAATCCACCTGAAGAGTGTGTGCAGAGTTGATGTACTGTAGTCTATTGTCTCTCCTCATAAGAGTCTGGACATGCGCAAAAAGCTAGCAAGCACTCTTTTGGGCACACAAAGCCCTGCACTCTTCACCTGATGACGAAATTGAAGTCATATGGCCCACCGGAGTCTCAAGGATGCAGAAACAATAACACACCTTTACAGCCTGAGATTTGGTGGATTATGCTGTTTAATCACTGTCGGTTTTTTTAAGAAAACATCTAAGTTTAACAATAAGTCACTATGTACTGCTGAGCAGGTAAGTATACTTTGTACTATTTTTTGTCCAACCTTGCAAGCTGTAACAATCATCATTTTGTAAAGCAGACAGAAACTGCAGAGTAGGGAGATGATTATCTGTTGGGTTTATCATTACAAGGAGCTCATTTTACATACAGGCAGTCATGTGAGCCACTGGTGATCTCAGTATACAGATAAAAGGAATGCTACATATTTACCAGAATACACATATACACAACATAAAGAGGTAACGAGTCCTCTTTTAACAATATCAACAGCCAATAAAAAGCAGGAGAGAAACGCTTTATTGCTCACATTACACAGCCCAAACAC